ATCAACGTTACACGGTAGCTCTGCTTCGAGAAGACGCGCGAGAACATGTACACACCTAAGAGACCGGCAACGTTGCCGATGACCGCGCCGACGGTGTTGTAGAACGTCTGCGAGAAGTGGGGGCCATCAGGAAGACAGTCTGCGTCTGCCATGTAGAAGTTGTCCGTCGCACCGGTGATAATGATGTAGGACACGAGTTGGCACCACCCGAAGAAGTTCGCCTTCATTATCGTCACCGGGATGCAGAGGAAGCCAGTCACGCACAGCACGACGGAGATCACCACGCAGCCGTACAGCAGCTGATAGGTCGTGCCGACGATGTTGAGAATGGTCAAGACGACGGCACCCGCAGTGAGGACGACACCGTAGACTGCGACGGAGGCGTTGCGTAAGATGACTTCTTGATTCACGCCAAAAATGCCGCACATGCACGTGGGCACCTCGAAGTCAACGTTCATCTCCTCCTCCTCTTGTGTCTCGTTGTCCAGCTCACCAAACTGAACCAGCTCGTTCGGGACACCCTCCTGAGAACTGCCTTCACTGCCAAACTGCGGCTGAACCTTCACGTTGTCCGGTGCGTTGCCGTAGACGACCATGCCGTCCTTGAAGGACTCCGAGCTCATCTCCTGCTGCCTCAGTGCCTCCTGTTTCAGCAAAAATACGAAATCCTCGCGGCGCTCCACGGCGTTTTTCTTCTCACCGTACCAGTTGAAGATGAAGAAGAACACACACACCGCCTGCAAGCCGGCGGATATGAAGATGCCGATGGTGGGACGGCCAGAGTCCGACAGCGGTCCCTGGATGGCAGAGGCGATAACCTGACCCACCATGATCAAAGCCCAGATCCACGAAATGAGATCGGCCCCAGGGACAGGTTGGCGTTTGATCAGGCGGCTGTAGTGGCCTTCCGACATCACATCGATGTTTGCAATGCAAAAGGATGATAGAAAGATCATCGCACCTGCAATCCCGGCGCTCGACTCTTTAAATGGCAACACGCCGTACACCACAGCGCACACGGCTCCGGCGATGCACGAAAACGCCATGTACCACCGCTTCGTGTAGCCAAAGAAGGAGAAGGTGTCGCTGAGGACGGCGGTGAGAGGCTTGATGGAGAAGCCCATGGAGCTGATGCCATGCATGCGCTGGTACACCTCCGGCGTGACACCGTACTTCTTCATGAACATCGCGTACTGGGAGGTGGTCAGCAACGTCTTGCCGACGCCTTTGCTGAGGATGTATACCATGCCCAGCGACGTCACGCACTTGGGCCCGAAGGGCTCCACTGCATTGCCGAAGATGGGGATCGCCTTTACGCACGGAACGACGGAGAAGAGCGCTGCGGAGTCAGGGTGGACATAGCCGGGCTCATCAATTGCCGGCTGGCGAGCCAAAGTTGGCATGCCGACGTCATCGCCGCCCACGATGTTGCCAACAGCAGCCTCAGCTGTCATGGCGTACAAAGGGAATGAAAGAAAAAGAAAGGGAAAAATGAGCTGTTTTGAGAGCCGTAGAAAGACCAAGGTGGAGAGTGCTTCGTCTTTGTCTTGTTAGCTGTACGGTGACCCAATGATGAAAGAGAGAAGAGAACAAAGAACGGTACAGAGGAAGAGAAAAGACGGTGATAAACGCAGAAGAGAAGAAACCACACCCCTGCGTCAAAAGAAGATAGTGTACATCGTAGTCTTGAGATGGCGTTAAAACACCTTCTAAATTCCCCCTTTCAACTGCGATGTGCATAAGCCGCGGAGACGCTTTTGGCTCTGCCATTGTCGATCAAACGTTCGGTTCTAAAGCCTGTCGCACGTCACATTATTTCGAGGGCCCTTCCGTTCTTCGTTTCTTTTTATTCGTTCGACTACGCAACGTTGCGGTCAACGAGAATTGTTGGGACGGGTGGTCAGAAGGGGCGGCTAGAAAAACGAAGAGGAGAAAGAAAGGTAATCTTATTTGGAGATATGTACTCTGTCTTCAGATGCTGTCACTGAAACATAACAGATCTACCCAGGGCAGAGAAAGGGGAAGATAGAAGCAACTGGTCGCAGCAAAGCGGCAAGGGAAACACACTTCAAGGAGGAATGAAGTACAAAAAAAAAACTCAAGCACGACAGGATTAGTACTCGAGGTGGCCAACAATTTGTCCATATCCTTCGAATGGGTAGTCGATGGTGATGCGGCCCTCGCCGGTATCGCCCAGGCCGCTGTAGAGGTCGCACTTGCCGTCCTCGCGCATCACGATACCGGAGGCGAAGACGCAGTCCTCCAAATTTGGTTTTTTGGCCGGACAGGAGGGATAACAAGACTTGGTTCCAATAACCTTTTCATTCTCCATCGCGCGCGTCACGGGATCGAAAACAAAGGCGCAGTTAACGTACACTGACAGCGGGTCGCCGTTGGGCTTCTTGTCGTTGTAGGCGATGTGGCCGATGCACCCCACCTTTCCGCTCGTCAGCAGATAGGGCTGATTAACGCCACCCCACATGCCGGGCCGGATGAAGTCGATGGGCTTTGCCCCCGCGATGGCAGCGGTGGTGAGGTGATCGATGCTGTCCACGGTGGCGAACCCGACGTACACCTCGACCTTGGTGCGCACACGTGAAAAGATGCCCAGTCGGCCGTCGTGCAGCTGGAGCACACGGATGTCCTTCATAAAGTCGGGGCCGGTGGTGAAGTAGTTCAGCTCGGTGGGGGTGCCGCGGTAGAAGTAGCCAAAGTAGCTGAGCACCGCCTCACCGTCCTTGCGGACGTGGGTGCCACCAAAAATCATCTCGTTCTTGATGTTCTGTATGTACGGGTCCTCCAGCTCGATGCTGAACTCCGGGACGGCGGTGAACTCATCCTTGCCGGTCTCCTCGAACAGGCGGACGTGCGAGGCGGCCCAAATCTCGCGCTTCTCGACACGGCCGTAGATGTGGCGCCTTCCTTTGTACTTGAAGGGGACGGAGCAGTTGTACACATCGAAGCCGTCGACACCCTTGAAGGCGAGCAGTGCGCTCTCATAAACCGCCTTACTCTGTTCAAACGCCTTCTTGTGCTCCTTTATGATCATTTTCAGTTCCGTGATGTGGGCAGAGGACGCCCGCGAGAGGTCAACTCAGCACTGCGGGTGTGAGACGGAGGCAGACGGAAAGAGAAGGCCGAAAACGCAGAGAAAGTGCTGCGAGCGAAAGAAAAAAAGAGGGAGTATATAGAATCGATGTCGCAGGCGAGCAGCCTTCTCTTCCATTGACCACAGAAGCACAACAGCCGATGTGGGTAAGAATGGATAGAAACGGGGGAGGAAAGGATAGAGCGGAGTAGCTGCGCCACATCACATTGCACACATGGAGCTGATAAACACGAGTTAGTTTACCTCTATGAATAACGTGTCACACCTTCCAAACGATCAAAGGAAAGCATTGCTGAAAAAGACAGCGCTATACACAGTACGCTCGTTTTACAGCGAACGTTGAGTGCGAGCCGGCGGAGCGACCTAAGCGCTCAGCAAGAAAACTCGTCGACGCTTTTCCATTCCGCTTTTCGTTGATACCTGGAGGCATTGTTCTCGAGACATAAATAGAAGAAGATAAAATGAAATTGCTTCGCATTGAATCAGACACAGGGGGGTTATTTTTTTCCTTGGGAAAAAAAAATAATGAAATTCTAAAAGCCCACAAAACAGCTGTGTAGCTTTTCATCGCGCTTTTGTGCGTCGGCTCCGCCGATTTCTCCTCAAGAGTTCGCCCATCCACTCACGTATTTCTGCAGCAAGTAAAAAAAAAAGAGGGAAAGAGCTAGATAATTTCTCTTTCGCGCATGAAGCACAATCGTGGGGAAAACAAAGAAGACAAGTGCTTTCTTTTGGAGTAAAGATCCACTAGCTCCCTTGCACGACCGCTTCTCTACTTGTTTTTTTCCTAGGTACTGATCGCACCGTTTTGCATCAACCGCCCCATCTACTACACATCTTCACAATCACCAAACCGATAAAATGGGAAGAGAACAACAAACAAAATTATTTGAAAGGAAGAGAATTGATGAGATCTCAGCTGTCCGGGTATCGGGGGACGGACGTTCGAATGCTTGACAATTTTGCTTAAGTTGTTCAGACAAGAATAAAAAAAAAGAACAGCAAACAGAAACGTGTGGTATTGAGTTGACTAGCAAGCCTAACGTGTGACTTTTCTTTTTGGCCACTTTTACCAAATAAAGAATCTCCTCTTTTCTTTGAGAGCAACTTAAAAACACAAAAAAACTGCTCTCTTCTTTCCTTTCATCGAGAGACCTTTGCATAAGAGCCAACCTACAGTGTCCCTACCTTTCTCGTTCTCCTCATATAGGAGCCACCGTCTTCGTGGCGTCCAGAGCAGCTTTCAAAAGATGTGGAGCAAACATCTCAACTCACTTGAATCAGCCTCTCTTCATTTCTTCTCCGCTTCTCACAATCTTCACACAACTTGCACACCACTGTGCACTTGCAGCTATGTGTCAAGAAATCGTGAAGACAGTGGCTTCTCTTCCTGAGGCCAACACTTGCGTGTAAGTGGCGTTTTTAAAAAATGAGAAGGGACGCAGCATTTTTTAGCTTTTGCCCGAATATAAATAGAATCGCCTCACTCCTCGCCGTTCCTGTCGCTGCTCTGTTTTGTTTGTGGATTAGTGGGTTTCTTTGCTGTGGTTATTTCTTTTTTTTTTAGCGCTGATGCTCAAACCTTCATTGAAGATCAGCGCCTACGTTACTGATCGGTACTCAAAGAAAGCTGTCAGGGCTGGTGCGTACGCAACATTAAAAAAAAAGGCATATATAAAGATTTGGAAATCAAATAAGCACTGTGTCCTTAACAGTACATGCATCGGCAAGTTCACCTCCTGATGGCCCGTCTCGGGGTGAGGCGGCAGAAAGGGGAGAGCAGAGGGCCAAAACGCACAATATGGCATTGTCCGAGACGCAGAAGCGGGCGTTTATCATCTTTTGTTGGTTGCTGCTGCTGTTGCTGTTAGTGTTCTTGACCCTCTACCTGCTAAAAGGAGAGGGTATCGACGATCTCGCCGCACCCTTCGAACGGGTAGTCGATGGTGATGCGGCCCTCGCCGGCATCGCCCAGGCCGCTGTAGAGGTCGCACTTGCCATCCTCGCGCATCACGATGCCGGAGGAAAAGGCGCAGTCGATCAGCTTGTCCGCCTTGATCGGGAAGTCTGGATAGCAGCTACGGGTACCAATAATTCGTTCCAGTTCCGCCTCCCTCGTGTTGGGGTCTAGCACAAAAGAATAGTTGAGGTAAACCGCGGTGGGGCGTTCCTTATCGTCCTTGCCGTTGTAGCTGTAATGCGCAATGCAGCCCACCTTGCCAGTGGAGAGCAGATAGGCCTGGTTCACGCCACCCCACGAACCGGCGTGCAGCACATTAAGCGGCTCCGCTTCATTAATTACTCGCTGTGTCAGCTCGCCCAGTTCGTTGATGATGGTAAAGCCGATGCAGGAGTAGATGTCGGTTTTGGGGCGCGAAAAGACACCGATGCGGCCGTCCGCCAACTCCACGACGCGGATGTCCTTCATGTTGTCCGGACCCGAGGCGAAGTACAGGTTCTGCTCGATGCCGCCGCGGAAGAAGTCGGAGTAGTAGTTGAAGACTCGGCCACTGGACTTGCGCACGCGCGTGCCACCGAAGACCGGCTCTCCCTTAATCCTTTGAACAAACGGGTCCTCGATCAGCCACGTCATCCCGTCCGGCACCACCGTAAACTCATCCTTGCCGGTCTCCACGAATAGGCGTACGTGCGAGGCGGCCCACTCCTCGCGCTTCTCAATGCGGCCAAAGATGTGTGTCGTGCCCTTGTACTTGAAGGGGACGGAGCAGTTGTACACATCCATCCCGTCCACGCCCTTGAAGGTGAGCAGTGCGCTGTCGTAGACGCGGCACGACGTCTCGAACTCCTTCTTCGCGTCACGGACAACTTGATAGGTGCTCATGACGCTGAAAGAAAACGGCTGTGTGTTTAGGTTTGTGAGATAGTTTTTTTTTCTTTTGATTGTGGGTCGTGCCTGCGCTCGTTTGCGTATCTGTGTAAGTGAGTACAAGGATGGAAGAAGAGAAACGTAAAATGAATAGAAATTGAAATAGATGAAGATGCGCGCTAAGCTCACGTGTGCGTGCTCGAAAGATTAAGGTAAAGGATTAACAACAACCTGGCCGAATCAAGCTTGCTTCCTGAGACACTGCAGCTGAGCACCGGCACATATGGAAACGCAGCAATTAGCGGAATTGGATACAGAGTTGGGAGGGAAGAAGAAGGAAAGGAAATAGGAGCGGCATGAGGATGGGTTTGCGCATGGCTCCTGCGGCTTTTCGAGGTGTCATCCAAAATACTTCGGTCCTCTTGGTGGTGAAAACTCTTCCTGAACGATAGTTTTCTTTTTTTTGGAAAAGGAACAGCTTCGAATCGTGCATGCTTCTGGCGTGAAAGAACAACACAGGGAGCGGCTTGTCGGCAGTTGCCATGACGTACTGACAGAAGAAATAAAGAAGGACGTACGGCAGGACCTCACCAAACGGTCCTACAGCGCAAGCGTTCAAAAGAAGCGCAGCAAAATAAATAGAAACAACGCAAAGCGGAAAATAAATATATTTAAGCAACGTGAGAGGGGGTTTTGTACCGGGAAAAGAAGAACAGCCAGTGACATGAGTTCTTCTACGCGTCTTTGCGTTGACGAAGGAAAACTCACTATGGTCTATTTCTTTTTCATAATGGAGTTCCTTTTACGGCAATTAAAATGTCAAGAAGAACAGAAAGCCACGTTGAGTTGCCGGTGTGCACATCTACCTTGTGTTGTGCAACGATGACAACACAACACACAGTACCCACAACGAGACCTTACGGAGTCTACCTGTACACTGTCTGGCAGAGATGCGTCGACTGCAAGCATGCAAGCCAGTCTTTAGCATTCAAAAAGACCTGCTTTGGGGCTCATCCACGAGGAGCGATGAAAGCGCAGTCCTTATGAGGCAATGGAGAAAAAAACAATGACTATTCTAACAGGGAACAGGTAACGGAACTTTGGCCACAATACCAAAAAAAAGTTAAACCCATGCAAGAGAACACAGCAAAAAGTGGATGGATGAAAAAAACAAAAATTCCAAGTGTTGCGCGGCGCACCCACTTCGATATGGAATGCACAGTTACCAAGACGGACTAGAATGAGAAAGTTCGCGGCAGATTAAAAAGTCAGATCACCAATCAGCTCCCCGTGCCCTTCAAACGGGTAGTCGATGGTGATGCGGCCCTCGTGTGTGTCGCCAATACCGCTGTAGAGGTCGCACTTTCCATCGTCTCTCATGACGATCCCCGTCGCAAATGCGCAGTCGGCGACCCGCGGTGCCTTTGCCGGACACGCCGGGAAGCAGTCTTTCGTGCCGAGCACCTTGAAGGCAAGGGTGTCATTGGTGGCCGGGTTGTACACGAAGGACGTGATGCAGTACACGTTGAGCTGCTCACCCGCGTCGTCCCTGTCGACGTAGCCGTGGTGCGAGATGCAGCCGACCTCGCCGCTGGAGAGCAGATACGCCTGATTCACACCACCGCAGGCGTCGAGAAAAGGTCGGTGATCGATGGGCTGCGCAGCGTCGATAACGTCGCGTGTGATTTCATGTAGCGTCTTGACCGTGGTGAAACCGATCAAACACAAGTCGTCCGTTCTGTGCCACGAGAAGAGTCCGATGCCGCCGTCTGCCAACTGCACCGCACGGATGTACTTCATGCAATCAGGGCCAGTGGTGAAGTAGGACAGCTCCTGCGGTGTTCCGCGGTAAAAGTCGCAAAAGCAGCTCGTCACGTCGCCGGCGCTTTTGAGCACTTGGGTGCCACCAAAGAGCATCTGACCCGCCACGCGAGCCACAAAAGGGTCCTCCAGCTGGTACGTCAGTTGGTCCGGCACCAGCGTAAACTCATCCTTGTCAGTTTGAATAAAGAGTCGCACGCGAGGCTCCGCCCACCTCTCCCGCCTCTCGATGCGGCCAAAGATGTGGGCTTTGCCCTTATACTGGAAGGGGACGGAGCAGTTGTACACGTCGAAGCCGTCGACACCCTTGAAGGTAAGCAGTGCGCTATCGTAGATGACCTTGTTCTTTTCGAATGCAATACGGAATTCTTTGAAGGTCATGAAACACCGTGGAGGATAAGAGAGAGAGAGGGTGTGTATAATCAACGGTAAGCTACACGGCAAAGAAAGCGTCTGCTGGCAATATTGAGAATACGAACACCTGGTCCGTACAGCGAAAGAGAGCGCAAAAGGGTTGTGAGTTGAGAGGGAAAGAAAGGCAGAAGCGGTGAGAGAACACAGCAGCCGTTAAAGAGATGTGTATGAACTGAGCGACGACGCGAAACCGGCAGAGACGTTTGATTTCAGCGTTGCACCCCAAGTTCCTTAGACCTGGGCACATTTGTGATGTAGCACTTCTCTTTGCCGAAGTGGTACTCCCTACGACGACCGCTGCTTTTTTGTTGTTTTGATCTGTCGCAGCTGTTCCAAAGCACGCCAGTGTTCCAGGAGGCACCTGTACACGCTTCACTGCAGTAGCCTCCTCTACAGGTGTCCCCGGCTGTCCTCTACTGCTATTTTGCGCTCGCCGTAACGCAAGCGTAGAGAATCGGCAATGCGTTGTTTTTTTCTTCTTCCTTTCTTCAGATCTTCTGCGTGCAGGTGCGTCGCTGTCGTGGCTGAGACGGCGGAAGGATGCCTATCGTGGTACGTCACCGGCCAGCCAAGACGTGAAGAACACAAAGAAAGCGGTTCGGTACGAATGAAACACGTGTAGTAAATAAATAGATGTTTGAATACCGGTGTCATTGAGAAGGGACGGGGTTGGGGGCCTTTGATTCATAAAGAAAGCGTTCAGTAAACAAAATGAGAAAATGAGAAAACGGCGGCTACAACGGAGGCGCGGGTGGTTTCCTACGTGTGGTTTCTTTCTCCCTTTCGTGCCCAAGCGGGGGCCGCGTACGTTAAATAGACGACGGAGTCGGGAAGACGAAGTCGCCGATGATGTCGCCGTGGCCTTGGAAAGGGTAGTCTACCACGATGCGGCCTTGGTACCGATCGCCGACTCCGCTGTAGAGGTCCACCTTGCCGTCCTTGCGCTTCACAACACCGGACGTGAAGACACAGTCCGCCAAAAACGGCTTCTTCGGCTCACATGGAGGGTAGCAGCTCTTGGTGCCGATGATTTTTCGATCGTGTATTTCGCGCGTGTGCGGGTCAAGGACAAAGGAGTAGTTCACGTAGACGCTGAGAGGATTTCCGTTTGCGTCCTTATCCTCAAAGCTGTAGTGACCAATGCAGCCGATAGTGCCATCGGAGAGCGCATATGCCTGGTTGACCCCACCCCACGTATCCTCCGAGAGAACGTTTAGCGGAGGGGCCCTGGCGATCGTCTCCGCGCCCAGCTCGTCGATGGAGTTCAAGATGGCGAACCCGATGGACGCTCGGTTCCCCTGGCGCGGTCGCGAGAAGACACCAACGCGCCCACTCTGCAACTGCACCACGCGAATGTCCTTCATGTAATCCGGGCCCGTCGTGAAGTACGTTAGCTCGTCTGGGGTGCCCCGGTAAAAGTAGCCGTAGTAGGTGCTGATCTCCCCCTTGTCCTTGCGGACGTGGGTGCCGCCAAGAATCATCTCGTTCTTGATCTTGGCAATGTAAGGGTCTTCCAACTGCAGGTAGAAGCCGGGTACCACCGTGTACACGTCTTTTTGTGTTTCCTCGAACAGGCGCACGTACGAAGAGGCCCACAAGTGCGGCCGCTCAACGCGACCGTACATGTAGTGCTTCCCCTTGTAATAAAACGGAACGGAGCAGTTGTACACATCGAAGCCATCGACACCTTTGAAAGTGAGCAACACGCTCTCGTAGACGTGTTTGTTCGCCTCGAAGGCCGCCTTCATCTGCTTCATCTTGACTGAAGTTTACTGAAGGAGTTCCTTTCTCTTCGGTTTTTTTTTTTTTGATGGGCTAATGCTATGTGGGAGCGGGCGCAGGGAAGGAAAAGAAAAGCAGAAGAAAGCTATTTTCGCCAAAAATAAAAAGTCAACAACGACGAAGGTTTCTTGCGAGGGTGCGAGGCCGAAGAGTAACGGTTGAATTGCTGCCGTTGTTGTATTGGTTCATGTATGAGTTGGGATCTGCTGCAATTCGCCGGAGTGAGAAGCGGGGGAGAGCGATGAAAGGATAATCATATGAGAGAGAAAACAAAATAATAAGAAGAGTGGCTCATTAGCAATCAATTGGTGGGGTGTACGAGAGCAGACAATTGAGAAAAAAACGTATATGGGGAAGCTTCGAAGCTAGGTGTCAGTGCATCCTCTGCCGCGTTACAGACTTTTCAATGCCTGACCCCCTTCAAAGCACGCTGAGGCGCATGACGACATCCAGTGAGGCCGTGTCGAACCCACACCGAAAGATCTAGTTCTGTTAACCTCCCTTGCCACAGCAAAAGGCTCCGTCGAATCACGACGTGGGTCCGCCAACAGCGAACCTGGCAACCGACATTCTTGCACTTGCTCTTCGATTTTGATTGGTCCATTTGAGTATCATTAGGGGCGGTCAGCGACGTAGAAGCAAGAGATACAGAAAAGGAAAGAAAAAAAATGGTCAAAAACGGCACGAATACATCGCAGAAGAGAAAAGTCAAATAAGAGGAAAAAAGGGGAGGTAACTGCGCGAGGACTTGAGCCTATAAAACGCGATTCCAACCCCTTTTTGGATTCGACTTCGGCGAAGATGGGAGTGAAGCTACACGGGTGTGGAAAACCACCAAAAATATGAGAAGTTCACCGGCGAACTAAATAAAAAGTGGAACGAAAACAGTTTTGCTCAGACAAAAATAAGCCAATATTTTTCTTCTTCTTGCTTTACTAAGAGATAGACAAGAAAACAGAGTTTTCTTCACCAATCAATACCAGCAAAAAAAAAAGGTGTCAAGGGAGAGCTTACTGCTCACACCAACAGAAAATGAGGTAGACGTCTACAAACGGAAGTGCAGAAACGTTGACGGGGCGCGTCGTTGCCGTGCCCAACTACGAAACTATAGCTTTCACGTTCATCGTGTGCGCCTGCTAGGACGGCTGCACTAACTTTCCTTTTCCAGTGGGCTGATAAACCCAGTGTATGCTTGTCAGGCCTCGACAGTTTTGTGGTGTTGTTGTTGCTTTTTGGCTGTTGTTGGGCAGCAAGGACGGTTTCCATACAACGTTTGCGATACAAATTATAAAGTAGAGAGAAAAAGAGACACTTTTCAACGTCGGCATCTTCTTTCTTGAGCCTCTTATTTGTTGCAATGACTTTCTTTCTACAGACGGCCACAAACTTGTTAACAGATGCCCTTTTACGGTTCTTATGCTATATGTGTAGGCGGTTTTTCGCTTCCTTTCATTTTGTCAAGTTGGCTTTATGTATCAGAAGCTGGGATCGAACAACGAACAAATGAAGCGTAATGAGATCGCACGTAGGGAAAAAAAAAACAGAAAAAGATTGAATGATCGGATTAAAAATGCAGATCATCGATGATGGTTCCGTGGCCCTCGAACGGGTAGTCGATGGTGATGCGTCCTTCGTGCGCGTCGCCCAGACCGCTGTAGAGGTCGCACTTGCCATCGGGTCGCATAACGACGCCGGACGTGAAAGCGCAATCAAGAAGCTTCTCGACCTTGGGAGGACACTTAGGGTAGCAGCCTTTCGTGCCAATGATGCGCCCATCCTCCACTTCACGGGAGTAGGGGTCGAGGACGAAGGCGTAGTTTGTGTACACCGTGATTTGCTTGCCATCCTCGTCAAGGTCCAGATAACTGTAGTGACCGATGCATCCTATCTTGTCCGAGCTCAGCAGGTAAGCCTGATTAACGCCACCCCACGCACCGGTGTGAATGACGTTCAGCGGCAGCGCCTCCTCCACCACCGTCGCGGTCAACTCATCAACGTTGTTGATCACAGTGAAGCCGATCGAGGAGTGCGCCGCCGTCTTGGGGCGAGAAAAGACACCGACTTTGTTGTTGGCAAGCTTGATGAGGCGGATATCCTTCATGTTGTCCGGGCCCGTCGTAAAATAGCTCATCTTCTCAGCACTGCCACGGAAAAAGTCGCAGTAGTACGTGAAGACACGGTTGTTAGTCTTGCGAATGTGGGTCCCGCCGAGAATCATCTCATTATCGATGTTGGAGATGTACGGGTCCTCCAGCTGGAAGATGAACTCTCCAGGTACCAGCGTAAACTCATCCTTGCCGGTCTCCACGAATAGGCGTACGAAGGAGTTAGCCCACTCGGAGCGCTTCTCGACGCGGCCAAAGATGTGTGTCGTGCCCTTGTACTTGAAGGGGACAGAGCAGTTGTACACATCGAAGCCGTCGACACCCTTGAAGGTGAGGAGGGCTTTCTCGTAAATGTACTGGTCGCTGTTCTTCTCGAACTCCAGCTTCTCCTCCTTGACCTTCTCAAACGTGCTCATTGTTGTCGGGTATAACGGCGCTGTGAGTCTGAAAGAGGAAATATAGCTTTGTGTGACGTCCTACGTTCGCAATTAGTCTTCCCTTTCTTGTTCGCGAGATTGGGGAGGTACAAGTGCACAGACTGTGATGAGAAAGGCTTTTTAGGTACAGTCTTTTTTGCTATGAACTGGCGACTCCAAATGAAGCCCGCAGAAGAAAAACAGGAAACGCTATGTTGTTCTTTTCTTCTTGAAGAAACACCACCTTCGTTGAAGACCTCTGGCTTTTCTCGTTTCGAAACTGGAGGTAGGAAAAAGACCTTGAAAGCAAACCGAAGTAAACTATTAAATCTGCGGCAAATGCTGGAGCTGGTAGGAGTTGTGGCATGGAGCACCGGGAGGGAGGGAAAAATGGGGATTGAGGTTTCATAAGGTGCAAATGCGTTTTACCAACACCGATTAAGCAGACGCAGCAAGAATAAGAAGGATA